GGTCGACGCTCAACCACTGAGCCACGCCGGCTGGGCATAAGCACTAGATTATTATATGATATTGAAATTGTCACCCCCACAGGGTAAGGTATTGATGCTCTTTCTTCTTTACCAGCTATGTGGTGGCTCCCTGGCTGTGATCCATCCCCTCCACTCCTCCCCTGCCAGGCAGCCCTTCTCGGGGCTGGAGTCTGAGCTTTACGGTTGTCTGTGCTTAAGGCCGGGCCACCACATGGGGGCTGGGTGTCAGAGTGGGCGGGGCCTCGGGAAGAGGCCGCCTCCCAGGACCCATGCCCCTCCCCGCAGACATCTTCCCCCAGCCAGACCTGACGGACGACGGCCTGGCGCGGCCCGTGCTGGCTGGCATCGTAGCCACCATCTGCTTCCTGGCGGCGGCCATCCTCTTCAGCACCCTGGCCGCCTGCTTTGTCAACAAGCAGCGCAAGCGTAAGCTCAAGCGCAAAAAAGGTGGGTGCGGTCCCCGCCCCCGGCTCTACCTGGCCCGGGTTCAGAAGCTCCCCGTCAGGAGAGACGGCCTGTGTGTAGGGTGGGGCCCCTTGAGAAGAGGGTAGAGTTGCCAGTGGGACTTGATTTGAAAGAAGGAGAAAGGACATGGGGACCGTGGGAGAGTCTGGAGAAGGCAAGCCCCTGGGGGTGGGGACGGGCTCCCTCATGGCTCAGCTCTGGGCCCTGTCGACGCTGGCGTGTGTTTTGGTGTCTCGGCCTCAGCAGGTCTCCCCCTCTCTCCTTCCAGACCCTCCGCTCTCCATCACCCACTGCAGGAAGAGCCTGGAGTCCCCGTAAGTGCCCCGGCCCGGCCCCGGGGGACACACTGCTTGTGGTGTGCGGGTGGACGGTCAGGGTGGACGGTCAGGGTGTGACAATGGGCGGTCCATCACGGCTCTTCTCCACTGGTTACCGCTGGTTGATCGCGCTGTTCCCCGCAGAAGGAGCAGTCGTGTAAATGATCCAGATTCGCTGAGAACCCATTTCTCTTTGGCTTCGAGTGTAGTTCTGTGATTTATTTTTCGGTCATCCTAACAGATTTGCCTTCTGAATATGTTTTGCGTTGTCATATTATAATGAGCTT